GAATTATATGATGGAGTTTTGCAAGTCTATTGGGCAATTTAAATGCGAAGCATGAGCCAGGAGCCATGCTTCAGAGGACAGTCTGCACCCTCTAAAGCAGCTCTGATGGTGGAATGTAAGAGAACGAAGAGGTGTGCATATGAATGTAGAACACTGGGAAGGTGAAATGTGATCCGAAGACATGCTTCACCTTCACAAAATGAGACTTCCCTATCCCCAGCATTCATTGGTGTGGAGTCAGGTTTGAATGGTTTCTGGATTTAGATTCAACTGAAGAAAGGATGAGTTCTTCAGCTCTCCTTCCCGTCTTGGCAAAGACCAGTCCCTTTTAAAACAAATAATTTTTAAATTACTTGTACCTGGTTTGTAATGGTTTTAGTCTCATTGAATAAGACAAAGTATCATTTCAGTGTTTGGAATGGCTTTTTAAAACCAATTCTGAAAGCTGTTCCTTCAGTTTTAATTCTGTGATTGAAAGACAATGAGATGTATTGTTTGAAATGATTGAAGAAAAAGAAAAACTTTAGATGAAAATATTTGCAGTAATTTATCCATCTCTTACAGTGATCTATTTTCCAACAGTTATTTAAAAGAAAAAATATCTAAAATTCCTTCTTTGCTTCTCGTAAATTAAAATGACTTATACCTGCTTTCCATAGAAATAGCTTTGACTATGTGCAAAGGAGATTTTTTGAGTTGTATTCATACAGTGTGAAAATACAATTCATTAAATAAGAATAGAGGACATTTTAAAAAGATGTAAGCTTTAATAATTTTTTTATTAATTACAGATTGTTTTGTGTCACAAATACCAACTTGCAGCTGACTACTCTAAGCATATGTAAATAGAACAGTCCTGCAGTGCTGGTTCTTTTTATTTCTATTTTGAAGGAGAAATTTCAATTTATTCCCTAAAAAGAAACGCAAGATTAGTTCTGTTGGTGGCAAAAAGGAAGGGACATATATGATGTGTTGAGCTTCCTTATTTTCTGTAGTTTGCTTCTATAATATGATTGCTGACAACTTTTTGCAGTACCTTTTTTGAATATGTGCTTATTTGGTAGGACTCTGTCTCTGATGGCTGTGTTTTCATTAACTGCCAGTGACATCCTTTTATGTGTTAGACAAAACTTTTGATGGAATCAAAGTCCATCATTGTTTTAAATCTGTATGTCCCTTCTTAGCCTTTTATTGCTTCTCTAGTTACATTTAAAGATTTCAGGTATCCAGCCTGGGTCTTTGTAGAGACTGTCCATATTTTTCTGCAAGATCCAGGTGATCTCATGCCCCTTTCTGATTTTGAACCAGTGCATTAGAAATGGATTAGAATAGAATTATATATATCAAACTATGAAAGGTAAAGTTGTAATTTAGTTTTTGTAACATGTAAGGAGAAACTGTAGTGAATTACCTAATAAGCCAAAGAAACAAGTCCTAATAATTTTCAGTCCATGTCAGTGACAGCCTTGCTAATTCTTGCAATACCATCAGGAACAGATCTGTGTTCTGTAAATTGCAGTGCCACAGGAAAGGACTCGGTTTAAAGATTTTTTTTTTTTCTTAAAAGATTTACTTTGTTCATTTTTTTTATTTCCAAGGGGTGTTTCTGGAATCATTATCTCTGACATAATTTCATAAGTTCCCTTTTGGAAAAAACAACAAATCAACTGGAGAGACTTAAGACATGGGCACCTTTCAAGAAGGAAGCTGAAGGCTCTGATTTGTAACCTATTTACAACACAAGAGGAGATTTTAAAGTGGACTTTGCACTTTACAAAGCATGTCCTAACCATTTGGGTGCCGTGTTTGTCTCTCGATTGCTATGAGAAGAGCTCCAAAATAAAGGTTGCTATCAATGAAAAGTATTTCCTGCCCTAGTGAAGAGGTAACTTGCCTGAGTGATAGAAACATGGGTTCAAGTCCTTTAGGTGGGAATTGTACTTGGATTTTCCAAATTCTGCACCTGTTTCCCTCTTGCTTCTTTCTCCAACTATTTTCTTCTCAGAATGCTAAAGGAAATAAATCCTTATTTACCTCATTCCTCACTTTGAACATCAGACTATAAGTTAGTGTCTTTTTTAAAGACAAAACTGAGTTAAATGTATCAAAATATATGGAGATGCTTTCTTGTTGAATCAGAAAAAATATAAAGGGTCTGCTTCAAACATTGTTTAGTAGAACAACAGGCTTGCTAAAATAAATGATGGCTCAAAGTGCCAAATTCAACTGTGAATGTGAACTCAATTTTAGGTTTGGGTATCCTGACAATGCACCAGAAGTCATTCTACACCCGAATATACCTTATTAAAAAGAAAAGCCTCGCATTATTTCCCCTTTACCAAGTAAATATAAATTATATTCCCTTTCTGTTTGACTATTCTGCTGTTTCTTCGCTTTCCTTAAATTTTCTTTTATGCTTTCTGTGAATTATCAAAATACTTAATTTTGTGTCACCATAACAGTTCTGATTTTCAGTCCCCCTTTTAAGACTAGGGCATTGTTCTAGTCCAGAGAGTCAGCCAGATAGAGCTGTACTGACATTAGAGAGGTTAGCTTCAGGAATGGCTTTAAGTCATCCTTATTTCAACTTATTTTGCATATTTTAAGAGGAGCATAGATGAAATGTAAATAATTAATTACATCAAAAAGCAAGC